GCAACACGAGAAAACGCTCAGTGTCAACTATGGTTTTCTCTGAGCCCGTGAGACGAACCACCGCTGGGGGTGGATGCATTTGCCTACAGCTCATGGCCCAAAACGCTTCTGTACGCGTTTTCCTCCACCTCCTCGGATTTTACGGTTTCTGAACAGAGTTCAGGAGGAAGGATTGACAGCTCTCCTGGTGGCCCCCGAGCGCGTGAACGCACCATGGTTCCCAGTCCTGCAACGCCTGCTGTTGGGGCGCCCGTGGAAACTGCCATGGAGGGAGGATGCTCTCCTCCAGGCAGGAGGAGCGATCAGGAGTTTCCCAGAAATAGGCCAGCACCTGTGGGTCTGGCCGCTGAGCGGATCCGCTTAGAGAGGATGGGTCTCCCACAGGATGTAGTGCGCACAATCCAGGATTCACGTGCTGCATCTACCACAGCGCTGTACACATCAAAGTGTACAGTTTTTTCAGCGCTGGTGTTCAGAGAACGGTGTAGAGGCCATCTCTTGTCCACTAGGTGGCATGCTGTCCTTTCTACAACAGCTGATGGACAGAGATTTGGCGTCCAGCACGATTAAAATGTATGCTGCAGTCATCTCTTCCTGCCACGAAGGGCTCGAAGACAGAACAGACTTTAATCATCCGCTGATGAAGCGTTTTCTAAAAGGTGTACATAGACGCAGGCCTGTTTCACCCACTTGCTCCACAGTGGGTTTTAACGCTGGTCCTGCGAGCCCTGATCAAAGCTCCATTTGAGCCTCTGGATCAGGTCCCAATTAAATTCTTGTCTCTTAAAACAGCCCTGCTGCTGGCTTTAACATCCGCTAAGAGGGTGAGTGATTATCTGCCTTCTCTGTCGCTCCGTCATGTCTTAGAATTCAGGCTGACGGCAGCTCAGCTGATTTAAGACCAAATCCAGCTTTATGCCTAAAACATCACGAGTTCTTTTAAATCAAGAGCGATATCGTTGGAGGGGTTTTTCCCTTCCCCCCACAAATCAAAAGAAGAGGCGTTTTTCCATCTTCTCTGTCCGGTGCGGCCGTTGACGTGTTACATAGCACGCACAGCTGCAATGCGTCAAACTCAACATTTGTTTGTGCATTATAGAGATGCACCTGCAGGTCGCCCGTTATCCACCCAGCGCTTGTCACACTGGCTGTGTGAGGCCTTTTCTGAAGCCTACAGAGCATCAGATTTAGAGCCTCCTGTCAACCTCAGAGCACACTCGACCAGGGTTACTGCATCTTCGACTGCCTTGCATAATGGTATGACAATGCAGGACATTTTGCACTGCGGCCGCGTGGTCAACACCCTGCTCATTCATTCGCTTTTATCTACGTGATGTGACGGCTCGTTCCATGACACATTCTGTCCTTAGTGTTTTACAGAATGAATGTTGTTGTTTCATGGAACTCCGTTTAACTCACATCTGTCTGCATGCATTACAGTGTGAGATGTTGGTATCAGTCACAAGTTGTGATTATTTTGGTTCTATTGTCACTAATCAGTTCATGATTATTGTTACCAATCAGTTCATTTGATTAATAATCAGTTCACTTATTATTAATCTGTTCATACTGTTCAGCCATAACCGGTTGGTTAATGGCTCTATTCAGCATATTTTCCCTCCCCGTTGAATTTTTTTGTCCGGGGCATTTATGCATTTAGAACGCATAGTTACACAACATGCGTCTGTGCATGGCACACATAATTACGCAATGCGTAATTACGCACATGGGGAGCTGAGTGACGAGACGTTTTTTGGGCAAACTTCTGCTTCATACGGTGTTCGAATGGACCAGTGAGGCGAGGACCACATCTGCTTCGCCCTTAACCCATCAGCGACAGCCTTAAAGGGCGAAGCTTATATGAAATGGAACGTTGGTTACGTACTGTAACCCAAGATTCTATGAGTATAAGCGTAGCCCTTTAAGCGTCGGGCCTCACTGGCTCCTAACTGGCTGAAGAAAAAGCTATTTGGGAGCCCATTACCCGCTCTTAACGTAATTTATACGGACCTGGTGGGGCCCACACAGCAGGTGGGCGTGGACTAAATTTTTTAGTGTAATGCTTCGCATAACGGGATAACCCATCAGCGACAGCCTTAAAGGGCTACACTTATACTCATAGAATCTGGGGTTACAGTACGTAACCAACGTTTTTCAATAAAATACTGGACAATTGAAGGTACATTGTGACCTTATAACACCTGACAGTGTTGCTTAAAAAACAAAATTGGTATCGGCCAAAATCGGAATTGGCAGATCAGACTTTTTAGAAATCTGTGATCGGCCAGAAAACTGCAATCGGTGCACTCCTACCTTAAATACAGCTTTTCTACCAAATGTCAAGTCCCAGCAATTATTTGAAAGGTGAGTGAATGAAAGTGACTATCTTCAACAGCTAGTCTCCAGATTTGAAGGTGACCTGTTTTATCGGATCCCTTAGTTGACAGTGACTAGATTATTAAAGTTAATTCAGAAATCAAGTGCCACATTTTTCCTCCTCGAGCTCAAGTCAACAACACTCGCCAAAAACAATGTTTGTTTTGGTATCAAATACTTTCAAAGAACATTTTTATATTTTCCATCGCACTGCTCTATAAGTCGCATCAGTCCAAATATGTCTAATAAAGTGGAAAAATCCATAAATAAGTTGCTTCATCGTATAAGTCACACCTATTATGCGTCACCACTGACAACTTGGAAATGTGGGCCAGTGTTGTGCCAAAAATCAATGGGCTGCCAAATGGCGGTCGCGGGAGCGTGCACGGGAGGACTTTAACAAGAATTGAACAAGATTAATGCTTAAAAACAATTATTTGTTTGCTCAAAAAGGGGGGGGGGGGGGTCGGTACGCAACCAACGCTATTTATAGTGGGGGTGGTGTGCTGCTGACCTCAACTCAGGATATAGTGGGTCGGTGGGCGGAATACTTCGAAGACCTCCTCAATCCCACTGGCACGTCTTCCACTGAGGAAGCGGAGCCTGGGGACTTTGGGTCGGGCTCTCCAATCTCTGGTGCTGAGGTCACCGAGGTGGTTAAAAAGCTCCTCGGTGGCAGGGCCCCAGGGGTGAATGAGATTCGCCCGGAGTTCCTTAAGGCTCTGGATGTTGTGGGGTTGTGTTGACTTACACGACTCTGCAATATTGCGTGGACATTGTGGGCAGTTCCCCTGGATTGGCAGACTGGGGTGGTGGTCCCCCTATCCAAAAAGGGGGACCGTAGAGTGTGTTCCAACTACAAGGGATCACGCTCTTAAGCCTCCCTGGTAAGGTCTATTCAGAGGTTCTGGAGAGGAGGGTCCATCGGATAGTCGAACCTCAAATTCAGGAGGAGCAGTGCGGTTTTCGTCCTGGTCATGGAACACTGGACCAGCTCTACACCCTCAGCAGGGTCCTGGAGGGTGCGTGGGAGTTTGCCCAATCAGTCTACATGTGCTTTGTGGACTTGGAGAAGGCGTTCGACCGCGTTCCTCGGGGAGCCCTGTGGGGGCTACTCGGAAGTATGGGGTACCAGGCCCTTTGATACGGGCTGTTAGGTCCCCTTACGACCGGTGTCAAAGCCTGGTCCGCATTGCCGGCAGTAAGTTGGGCTCGTTTCCAGCGAGAGTTGGACTCCACCAAGGTTGTCCTTTGTCACAGATTCTGTTCATAACTTTTATGGACAGAATTTCTAGGCACAGTCAAGGTGTTGAGTGGATCCATTTTGGTGGCCTTAGGATCGCCTCTCTGTTTGTTGCAGATGATGTGGTCCTATTGGCTTCATCAGGTTGTGATCTACAGCTTTCGCTTGAGCGGTTCGCAGCCAAGTGTGACGCAGCCGGGATGAGGATCAGTTCCTCCAAATCCGAGGCCATGGTCTTGAGTCGGAAAAGGGTAGAGTGCTCTCTCCGGATCGGGAGGAGGTCCTGTCCCAAGTGGAGGAGTTTAAGTATCTTGGGGTCTTGTTCATGAATGAGGGGAAAAATGGAGCGTGAGATTGATAGGCGGATAGGTGCAGTGTCGGCAGTGAAGCAGGTGCTGTACCGGTCTGTCGTGGTGAAGTGAGAGCAGAGTCAAAAGGCGAAGCTCTCAATTGACTGGTCAATCTACGTACACGCAGTGGGCGACTCGATGTCCTTTCTTCGAAATTTAACAAGAGAACTACCTAAAACAATTATTTGTTTGCTCGACTTTATAGCAAAGGTGTGTCTCAGTTTAACTTAATAAATGCACTTCAGTGGTCAAATCAGCTTCATTTCGCCAGTGCAGCGAAATGAAGCTGATTTGACGGTTGCTCCAGGCAGACGATGGTGGCAGGCTATGGCAATCAGATTTTCATTAATAGCCGCTAGATGGCACTCGAGAAGTATGGCATGCCATTGTATCATGTAATAGGTAAAAGTGGCTGAGAATGGTAGTGTTGAATATTTTCAGTCAGAATGAAAGAAAACAGTCATGTCTCAGCCAAAAATTGTTTTATAAATACGGAAAAAAAACAATTCATCAATGCGTCACTTTGGTGTATAAGTCATGGGGCATGCAAATTATGCAGAACACTGCGACTTGTAGGGTGAAAAATACGTATGTGCACTGAGTAAATGAGTTTTGTTGACTAGATTCCACTTTCCTTAGGTTTTATGTATTTTTTTTTCTCCCCTCCTCAAATGGACTTGTCACTAATGCCTGTGGGGAACACGAGCGGTGGCTTTTCTTTTCAAGAATCAATAGTTCAAAAATGTTTTGTAAGTCTTTACAACCATTTGAGTGGGAAACTAAGTAAGCATAGATTCATTAATAAATATTTAACAAGATTTTAGGAGTATATTTCTCAACGTGGCCTGGACAGATTCTTCTGATCAACTAATTTTGAGCTTGTATTTTTAAAGCTTTAAAGAATAGAAGAACTTCTGCTCTATCTACTTTCTGTGATGGCATATGGATTGCTGGAGCTTAGTCAGGTTGCCTGTGGTTGTCTGATTTGAGTCTCCTGGTTGATGTAGTACCAAGTTGTCCTTGGCCCGCAGGGACAACCGGAGTCAGAGACGGTCCACCTGTTCATCCCTGCTCTTGCAGTCGGAGCCATCATCGGAAAACAGGGTCAACACATCAAGCAGCTCTCACATTTTGCCGGAGCGTCAATCAAGGTGAGTGACAGGCAGGTGGAAAACCTGTGATTATGCTGGCTCTTACTGAGACCTGCAAGAAGTTGACTAAGCAAAGAGCACTGTTGATTTCTGCAGCGTGTGTTCTTTCAGATTGCTCCTGCAGAAGGAATGGATGCTAAGCAGAGGATGGTCATCATTGTTGGACCACCAGAGGCTCAATTTAAGGTGCGGCACATAACAAAGAAACCCGGTGGTTAAAATAAGAGGGAAGCCATCGAGGCTGTAGCATCTTTTTGTAGGATCATTTATTTTATGGTCTCATCCGATCTCTGGGTTAGTAATTTCATTCTCCACAGAAAAAAAAAGAGATTCTACTGCTCGACTAATTTCTACTTGCATCATTCTGGCTGTAGGCTCAGTGTCGAATCTTTGGCAAGCTAAAAGAAGAGAATTTCTTTGGGCCTAAAGAAGAGGTGAAGCTGGAGGCGCACATTAAAGTTCCCTCATTTGCTGCTGGACGCGTCATTGGAAAGGGTGGAAAAACGGTAAACAAACTATACATTTAGAAGTCTTGGTTTTTGAATTTAATTTATTTAAATTTTGCATAATTGAAAAATTTCTCTTAATCCTGCTGCAGGTCAATGAGCTGCAGAACTTGACCTGTGCAGAAGTGGTGGTGCCGAGGGACCAGACGCCTGACGAGAACGACCAGGTCATAGTAAAGATCAGTGGACACTTCTTTGCTTGCCAGGTGGGTCAAAAGTATAGATACACCGAGTCGTAGAAGTCTGATGTGCATGGTCAGTGTAAACAAATCCATGTTTGTTTCACAGTCGGATGTTTTACCACAATTAAAAGTTGAGATCTTTAAAAGTGAGGCTTTAAGAAAAGATTATAAACAAGTATGTTCCCTGTTGTAGATGGCATTTACAGTGGTCACATCAAACTGACGAGCATGCTTCAGTCTGAGCTGCTTCTAAAGCTGTTTTCTACTAACACACTTGTCATATGATCTAGTTGGCCCAGAGAAAGATTCAAGAAATTCTGGCTCAGGTGAGGAGACAACAGCAGCCGAAGCCTGCACTGGGACCCCAACCTCCGGTGCCCCGCAGGAAGTAAAGGTCCAGCGGATCTGGAGGAATGGCGACCGCCTCTGTCCCGAGACTCGACAGACGGACAGATGTAGCAGAGTCCGGAGTGGAAGAAAACGACGGTGGATCCTAACGCTCATCTCAGGGGTCAGAGGTTATTAAAACCTAACATCCACCCCTCCCTGATTTACTTGATGGACTTTAAAGCGTGGCAGGAAAAGACCTTGATGCCTGTAAAGCTCCGCCCACTTCACCTCTCTGCATCTTTTGCGAGAATGTACTTACGAGGGCTGCCAACATCATCTGCCCTCACATGTACGCACCCCTTGACCGCGCTCCTCCCACCTGGGTGTCTTTTTTTATTTTATTATTTGTTCCCTTTATTCTAAACACAAAGAAGAAACAACGAACCCCCCCCCCTCTTCCCCCCCCCCCCCCCTTATGGTGTGGTATCTTAAACACGAGATGATTTGGTTGACTTCAGATTTAGTCTTTCTTTTAATGGTTAAAGCTTCATCAGTTTTCTGTAGGGGGGTAAAGGCATTGCTAGGTCCTAGTTGGACCAAAAGAGAGGTTTATTTTGGGGAGGGTTGGCTCTGGCTGGGTGGGCCGTGGACCCCTGATAGGGTGGATTATATCTGCCCTTGTAAAGCTAGTGGCATTTTTTAAAAATTCGGATGCATTTTATAGATAGACCTATATAAATAGATCACTATATAAATATATATATTTAGAGAAGGCAGCACTACGACTGACACTTTGGGAAATTGTGCCGAACTGCTGCTGCCCAGAAGAAAAAAAAATCAATTTAATATGCATTTTGTTTAACTACCTCAGGATTTAGTACCTCAGAGAAGAAAAAAAGATTATATATGGGGAAAAGTTCCTTTCTTTTTATTTAGATTTTTTTTTAAATGTTTTTGTATACTTTATAAAGCTGATAGTCTTTGAACATTTTTATTTTTTTAAGAAAATTTAAAATTTGGTCAGCTGCCAACTGACCTTGCCTTCAACTCTGGTGCTTTAGCTGGCATTGTGCACACGTATGTGACTTCAGATGACCCTGTACATAAAGTATTTGTACATAGCAGCCCTGGAGCAAGAGTTGGCGCCCCCCCTCAGCTGGCGGCTGACAGGAGTTTAGAGAGAAAATTGCCTCAGTCTTTCCTCCTGAGGGTCCACCATCTTTATTTCAAGAAAACACACAGAACAGCTTCACGCTAGTAATGCCAACCAATCTTTTGCAGCAATGCTTTTTAGTTTAGCCATTGAAGTCATTATTGGTACTTTAATTTTGTCAAAGTTTTCTTTTGACCTTCCTGCGAGGGCTGCTGCAGGAAGACAATGGGTCCTCCCCGTCGCTGTCAGAACATCTGTTTCCCATTGGTCTGTTGTTCCCAGGTCACTTGCCCACCGTCTCGATGAAACAAACTTCTTTTCACACCAGACGTAAGGTCCGACCAGCAGGAGTCACTGCATGGTGAGGGTAGGGGGAGTCACACCGATATCTTCTTTTTTGCGCTTTAGGAACACAAATTGACTTTCGCTGTCTCTTTATACAAATGTATTTGATTTTCGTTGCTCGTACAGGGAAACGAGCGAACACTCTGTGAACGAGCCCTGACTTCAGCAAAGATATGAATCCAAAACCTAAAAAAAAAAAAAAAAAAAAATCATTTATTTCATTTGTTCCCATGCTGAATGTAAATATATTGATTGTGGTAAAAGTGCTTGAGTGTATCCATGCTTCCACAGTAGAACGCAGTCTACCTCAGCTAAGGGGGTCGGGGGAGTTGTGGCGCTAATCGCTGCCCCCCGCCCCCACTGAGTGCCAGCGCGCACCAATACCTCAGTCCCCGTACACTTCTAACCTGGGCGCGCCACCACGCTTTACTGAGGGGCACAAGTCATACTTAAAATGATTACTCCTAATTTCCTGCGTTTTCCTCCTCAGTTTGTTTTGATCTACCTCTTTAGACACTTGTTCAAATTGGAGGCATTCCTCTATTTGTTACTTTACACCCCTGTTTATGCCCCCCCACAATCCCCAGGTATAAAACTTTAAATGATGAACTGTTTAGAAACGAGAATAACTGAAAGTGCTGAAATGTTTTCGTTTGCCCGTGTTTCTATGCTCCTCTGCTACTTACGGCGCTGCAGGAGTCCTCGGTGGTTCTTCCTGCCTTTGTGTTTTTGCTGCTGTGGCGTACATGTATTTAACTTTAGCTGCTTTTTCCACCTGTGACAACGTGAAATCATGGTTTTTGCTTTGCTTTCAATAGTTGACAATTATGTTAAAAAAGGAAGGGAGAAAAAGGAAAAAAGGCCAGACCTTTCTGATTTGTAAGACTTCAAAATAAAAGTCCTGTCTTTTCGCGCCCCCCCCCCCCCCCCCCCTTTTCATTTTTCACAGATGCTACACTTACTGATTTGGTAGATTTCATGTGTTAGCATTTATTGGCTGTGTAAAGTCATCTGACTGGATTTCTGTTGATAAGTGATCGTACTTGAGCATGATATTCCCCCACCTCCAACCCCTGCTGTTTATGGACCCATACTTGTGCCCCCCC